ACACACTAATAATATTTCGAAACATATACCAATATATATTTCTGTGCCACTTTCTCAATTGAATCTTGTGGTACTTCCCTAGTTGACTGGAAGCAGTATGCCGGGAAGTTGCACTTCGACATAACTTTCTTCAGCGGTGTAGCAATTCCCTCTATTGAATGCACAAAGAAAGTTGGCGGCCCACTTTCAACTTTGTTACATTTTACTATAAGATCCATCGGTTCAAGGTCATTCACATCTACCCTCATCCTAAACAAATTTCAAACATTGTGTTTGTTTGGAAAATCGCGGAAATTTTACCTCTTAGATATACGCTGACAACAACTGCGCAGAATAATTACAGTTTTACTAATCTGAAGTGATACTTGAGGCAACCATTATCGGAATAAAAGAAGTCAAAAAAATTACTTGAATAACTGATTCATTTGCCTTTCAAGTTGTTCAACAGTGTTTTGCTCAGCCTCCTTTTCACTTTCTTTCTTCAGTTCAAGTTCAGTTGTTTGTAACACCGTTGAAGATGTTCCACCGGAATCTACCAATTTTTGGAGCTTATTTAACGTCATCTAAAAGTGTCACATTTAAGATCTCAAGAGATTACAGTGTTTTACATCACATTAAGGGATATTTTTACTGCACACTTTCATACTTCAGAGATTTGATGATATATAATTATATTGATGTCTTTATTATTTTCAGAATAGCTGTATTTTTATAGCGTACAAGTCAGAAGGCATCAAAAATACTACCAGAGACTTGATCAACTTATGTATTACGACAATATCAGACGAAACTCACCGTTCTAATATCTTTCATGGACAAAACGATGTCATAGTCTCGTTCAAGAGCTTGTTTAATTTCAACGCCCATAAGTGAATCGAGACCCAAATCACCTAAGTAAGCATCTGGATTCAATTGCGCTGCATCATTCACACCCAGAATATGAGCCATTGTTTGCCACAAATTCCCACTACTTCCCACTTTTTTAGTGCCAACATCCGCCTTGATATAACTGAAATTAAAGTTAACTAAAGAGTGTTACTTCCAATTTTTAAGCTCAGACAGTAACAAACAATGCGTATTGTAAATAACTGACTTATATAGGAAAGGGTACAATGAAAACCTGGAAACAATAGGATGATTCCAGGATAAGAATAAATCCAAAGCAGCCAAGCAAGAAGGCATTCGTTGCGGTAAAGTACCACCTACAACAGTATTATTATCACCCATATTTTCCAGGATAACTCCCACGTCACCAATAGCTCCCCACTGGATTGCGATGCCTGGGAAACCGTCTTCTCGACGATGCTCAATGATCCTTTCCATCGTACAATTAGACCAACCATAGTTTGTTTGTCCAGCATTTCCACGTCCCGAAGTGATTGACGAAAATGCGACAAACCTAAATTCAAGAGAATAGCACAATATTCCAAGTATTTGCCGTTATTACTAGTGTAATGAATAACCAGAAAGTTATTGCTAATATAATGAATATCCTAGTCTCCAAGTACTGAAAAGGACTGAAGCATGTGATAGCATTTTTTCGAATAAACTGTAAAATACATCGTTTAAAAATGTTGGCATTAACCTAACATACCACTGTTATTAAGTTAATAGTTGTGAAGCAATACAGAAGGCTGTTAAAAATATTGATTGCTACAATAAAGATAAGGTTAGACATACCACTTAAGTTCTTTACCACATGCATTTCTGGTAGCAGCATCTAAATTCAGGGTTCCCCAGTATTTCGCTTCCGCAGCATCCTTGAAATTTTGTACATTTTGATTTTCAAACAAGCAATCGCGTAATACCATAGCGAGATGGAAGACACCACCAATTGGACCTAATGCTTTACATTGTAACATTAACTCGTGCGCATCTGATAGACGAGCAATATTGAGCGTTGAAACAAGAACCGAAATACCCGTTCGACGCCAAAAGTGAACACAACGAGCTTGGTAGCCTGTCCGGATTCCCATTCGAGAAGTTAGCACCAATCTGCAACGTATACCATCCAGTCTCCCAATAAATATTTCACGCTTTCTTTTTCGAGAACATTCTGTAGTGCTAATCACCACTCGTGTGTCTACATTGATAAGATCATACTATGGAATGGCTTTGAATGCCAACTGCGCTCAAATATTAGAATATTTCCTTTTTTACGTAACATCAACTGGAACCTCTATTATTTAAGTTTTAAGAAAAAGGAATGAACAACTTGTTTTACGGGCATACTTTTTAGCACCCCTATTAATAAGCCATTGTGAAAGTTCTAAGCCAAATCCACCAAGGCCACCAGTAATGAGATAAACATGATTTGGATGGCACAATGTTCGACATATCGCTCGCACTTTAATTGGTGACGGTACGCACACTCTTTCCGGTTCCTCTTGTCGAATTTCCATTAAAACCTGAACTCTTTTTTCAGTCAATCAAATCGCTATCACAAATGTACCAGAGATTCTTCCACAAGCAAACTTGATATCCGGAAACGCTCTTGATATCGCTGACTTTAAAGATATTCAAATTTCAAAGATCTGAACACTATCGATAACTCACATAGCAGTAGTATTCAAACCTTCCTTCTTTCCAAACCACCCACTTAGCGTTTTTTCTGCTTATATAACACTATCTGCTATCTATCAGATTATTCTATTCTGATTTTGTTCCAGTCAGCGTCCGAAACTGAATCTGATGCAAAATTGGAATGATTCTCATCATAAGTCGATAAGATGTGTGTGCAACTGTTACAAATGTTTAAAATAGTTCCATACCTTTCCAATATGTTTGCCGGATGACATGAAACGAAATGCTTCCTCAGCTTTCTCACTCGAAAATGCAATGTACGAAAGCGGTTGTACAATTCCGCTCTTGATGCCATCCTGAACCAAGCGCGCTACTTCCTGAAATGCAGCATTACTCCATTTTGAGAATGTCACAAGCGAACAAAATTCGATAAGTAAATTTCATAAGTTTAAGGATTTTCAGTGAGAAAAAACTTCCAATCTTCTATGCACAAACCTGCCAGTCTTCTTTTTTTCCAACATTCGGATCCATCACTGCATCCAGAAGTATGCCATGGAAAGCAATATTTTTGAGAAAGACTGCCATACCAAGAGGCGAATTTTGCGATAAATCTACTTTACCTATTTCTAAGAATCGTCCGTTTTGAGCAAGACATCGAACAGAAGCCTGAAATTGCGATTTTACCTAACACCTTTGCATTCTTCTCACTAGTGCAATTTTCAGAAAGACACTGCTGTCTGTACATTCATCACTATGAATGGTACAAAGCAGGACAACAAATTAGAGATGATGAAAATGTCCTCCTTAATGTGATGAAAGTAATGTAACCAGATGCAACCATACCTGCAACATATGTTGAGCCAGTGAATTAAGTACTACATCAACTCCACAACCTCTTGTTTGGTGCCTTATATGAAGCTCAAAATCAGAGTTTCGCGAATTCGCAAAATGCCTGTCCTTTAGCTGTGGGAAACTGCAAAAATAAACGGGACTGACATGAAATCAGTCTTATCTAAGATCAATTAAATTCAATTTCAAATAATCGACTGCAAAGGCAAAATATGGCGAACAATCGCTACACTTTACCGTTTTTGCAAAAATGCTTTCTTTTCAGCATTTCCAACTGTAGTATAAACTTCACAGCCGCGTGATAAAGCAACAGCGATTGCAGCTTGACCAACACCACCCGAACCTCCATGAATTAAAACCTAAATGTAAGGCTGTTATCAGTATTTTGTCATCCTTATCAAAGCTATTCAATAATAGATTACTATCATTCTGTTGTAAAACATCAGATAGTTCGATTCCTACTCACACTATTCAAATTAGTGAAGAGGAACAAATTATATAATAGTCTTCATTCTGTAATAGTACCCTTCTTCAACTCTAAAAGTTCTTTTATGGCAGAAGCTAATAAAATGCTTTTCTTCGTATAACTAACCTTATCACCTCGTCTGATACGACCACGCATTACAAGTGCATAGTAAGCAGTGGTATATACGACTGGTACCGTCGCAGCGTCTGCAAGTGACCAGTTATCCGGGACCGCCCATGCGTATTCACGATTAACAATTACAGAGCTTGCTAAAGCTTGCGCTGGCAGTATACCCATTAAACGAGTACCATCCTTCAAGCGTCCCGAAAACTCCATACCCAATAAGCATTCGCGATCAGCGAACTAAATTATTTAAATTCAATTTATTACATACAGCTTGGATCTTAGTCCAGAATTTATTTGTGCTTATTATGATAATAATCGAAAAGAAATGCGATAAATAACAAGCGAAGAGATAAAGAGAAGTGAAGAAGGACAGATTTTATCACTAATGCCATATATGATGCTATGATCAATATCGTTCAGCGCTGAATTTTAAATCAGTTGTTGGAAAGCTTAGGAATCTGCGATCTCAATTTTTCATTCTGCTATCGATATAACAAGCAAGGCAATCATTGAACCAGCCTTCAAGTTGCAGGATATTGTATTGTTAAGAATAGATGAAATCGTGCACCTGTCCTGGGATAGCATCAGGTGGAAGTCGTCCATATGCAAGCATGACATCGCGGAAATTAATCGCTGAATAATAAACATGGCACAGCTCTAGCGAAGGATTTTTTTGACATGTATCTTCAAAGAACTGATTCGGTGATTCGAACCATGTCAATGAGCTAACATCGCCGCGAATCAAAGTATTTATGAAAGCATGCTCTACATCTTTATATAAATGCATTTCGTCTGAAAGATCAAATAACCATTTATTCGTCACTCATTGCTCACTTTTTAAAGATGATCTTGAATTTACTTTTTTTTGGATTGATTTTCGATCCAATTCACTCTATACTTCCTACATTTGCAATTTCTTGAGCATAAATGCTACTTTAGTAAATTGAATTCGAAAATGACTTTAGAAGCATTGTTATCTTACTTTGAATATTTTCCTCTTTATCTATGATATCAATCAAACGGTAAATATAATTCAGACCTACCTTCCTTAACAACAAGATGACGCATGGAGCCCCACACACCATCGCGGTAGTTGTTAGCATGAAGATCAAGCTTCACCAACTCTTTGACGGATTCGTTTTCCATTCCAATCTGGGCCGGACCAGTTCGATTTTCCTTCTTGACACTCATATCAATTAAGGTTCGAAAACGATTTGATTTCAAATTTTCTTCACTGAAACAACAATTTTTCTAATCCCATATGCATTCTGTGACATAAGACAGGAAGCACCGGGATTCAAACGAAATTTAATTTCGATTAAATTGATAATACTAAAGCAAAAATTAAAATGAAAATGCGCCATTTGTCTAAAATACCAAAAGGACAGGATAAATATGCTCAGTTGAAAATAATTTTTGCTAATTTAGAAAAACCTTCACATTTGCTCATGCTACACGCGATGACCGTGTGTGACAATCACTGTTCATCGGTTTCGAAAGTTTCTAACATACTAATTTGATATTTTTTAAAAAATTTAACATCAGTCTTTTTTCTCTTGACGCTTTTTTTACTGCTTTGCAATTTATTTAAAGGTATAAATTTTCAGAAAGAAATCATAGCGTAATCTGCCCAACGAAAGAATCCACTCACACTTTACACATTCAACTACAACGCTTCGAATTCAGAATTAAAAAAGTTTATGTTACATTCACAACAGAAGAATAGTTTTTATGTGTAGTTAAACTACGGTATTTTTGGTGTTTTTTTTTGCCAATCTCTTGGTAAAACTTTCAGAATTACTCAGTTACGATCGATTGATTCATCATGTTGCGGAAGAGGAGATCATATTGCATAATATTAAAAACTTGCTTGAAGCAAAGGGCAAGTCCAAGTAAACCGTTGTTGCGTACTGTTGTACTAGTAAGCCAAATAGTCTTGTAATCCGGCTCGTTCAAACGTTCTTCAATTGCTTTTTGCAATGGTTCGATCCAAGTAAATTCTTCAATATCATCCACATCTATTACTATCGGCTCTCTAGCTTGTGATGGAATTTTTCGGATAGCATACATTGTGGTCATCATTGAAGGATCACTCTATAAAGATCAAATTTATAAAAAATTTTTTTATAATTTTTGAAATTTTAGCCTTCAACTTTGCTCTTTAAAATATATAAAGAAGATACCTGATAATTACAGAGGCGAAACTCGCATTCCTCAAATAACTTCAGTAATTGATCATGTGTAAAATAAGCACCGTAAATACGTCCAGAATCACTGATATTTATCATTTCTGCACTAAGACCTTGGATTGCTAAGGCAATTTCATAGTCAGATGTCGTTTCAACCAAAATGATGAAGCCATCATCACGCAACATCTCTTTACACCTCGATAGATACCGCACTACGTCTTTTTTACTGAAAAATTATGTTTTTGTCTTCATTAATTATAATAAATCCTGACTTCTGCGACTTTTCAAATTGTCCACAGTTAACTTTATAAGCGTTTTGGCACCAAAATGTTTCAAATTATTACTCAAAACAAATAATACTTTTTAGCATCTTCTGATAATTTAGCTTATGCCTTCCGGATCTCAAATTAATATGTATGTAGATAGCAGCCTGAACCATTATTCTGCACAGTTAGTCCTTGCACTACTTTTTTTCTGAACAAAGGTCGCTCAGCAATTGTGAATTTGTAATCATTTTGGTTCATCTCACAAAAAAAAATTTTTTTTCCAATAGTAAAAACAACAAAATTTAGAATAGTATATTTGAAAAAAAAGCTAAAAAAGAATAGCAAACTTATTTACCGTGATAGTATTTTATCCAAAATTATTATATCACAGTTTTTGATTTCAGGAGTTGGTACGAACTGTTTGTTATCTAAAACAACCGTTATTTTTTTAACACCGAGCTGTAGCAGAGTGCTTTCATCCATATCATCTACTTTGGGTCCGACACACAGCCATTCTACTTCCAGAAGCGGATGTGAGTTTACTGCATCAACACAAAACTTAAGCTGTTCAGTTGAACTGAATTCGAGTGTACACACTTTGCAGTTATGTCCAGTTGAATTCTCGATGCATGTGTCCTAAAAAAAATGATTTATGAATAATATTCATCCTGCATTCATAGGTAAGATTTTTATATTGAAAGGTCCGAAATACAATTATTTAATATTCGCAAGCCTTTCACTCATAGCATATCTTTGAAAATCCAAACCTTTCCAATAAAAAAAGTTTGTAATTTTTATAACCATTAAATAATGCACCTGGATTGTCTTCAAAATCCTGTCATGGACAATTGCAGCACTCCATAAGCGATCTACGTTGAAAATTTTCAACATATTCTGCATTTTTTCTGCCACCTTATTTTTGAGATCTTTGGGATTGTCACCAATTTCGATGGCGAAAATTTCATCAAAAACTATCGCAACTGGTGACCTGAATTGGAACAAGACATAAAATTCCAATTAGTGACATTGTTTTTACGTTGTTTTGCATTTAAACTTTATTAAAGAATAAGAGGAAGAACAAACTGCGAATCATCGAGCCATCGTTTGTGTTCCGCTTCACTAACTGGATTCATGAACTTTGTAAATTTACGAACAGCATCCGAAAGAAGCGCACCATTTGTTAATTCTTTCAGACAGCCATTAACCTCCCATTTTGCTAAACCATTGGCCAGTACTGATCGAAGGAAATCTCGATATGCATTCAGCTCTTCACGTATCTGTGGGAATTCATCAAAGGCTCTGAAAATAAGTGTCAACACTGCCAAAATTGATACCGATTACGAAAATCAAATACCTACACACAGTTAAAAACATGGAAATCTTATGCAGCGACTAGATTAAATGAAATCGATAGCTTTTCTCGATTCATTTTAGCAATTCATAAATATATCAGTATAACAGTGATATATTCATGAAACGAATTCATCAGGAAATGTGCCATACAAAACAACTAAGCGCTGTTAACAACCGACTGTCAAGCAACAGTACTTTTTGAAGAAGGAATTCTTCCTGTATATCTTTTTATCTGTTGCATTTCAAGGACTTACTTCATATCAAAATGTTTGGTAAAATAAATTTTCTCATAATAAAGTTGCCCAGCAGACTGTAATCGGCGAGCGACCGTATGTGCTGTCAAATCACAGCATTCAACACCACCGGCAACGCAGCCATTGGTTGCTACGTCATTACGCAATTCAATTACTTGAATACCATCTAAAAAATAAAGTAAATCTGAAGTAAAAAAGGACTGGAAAAGAATCGTAAAACGATGCTCTAAAGAAGGATTTTATTATTTGAAAAGGAAAAAATGAGTGGCAGGAAAAATTTTGTTTACTTTTCAGTCATTGATTTAATGTCAAATTTTAAGTGGTAAAATTACCTCTTTCTTGAATATGCTCCATATGTTTAATTGGATCAATTCGCAAGTAACGGACTCGGGTGGGTAATCGAAGACTATCTGCTCGTTCAGCTAGCAAAGCTGTTTGTAAAAGTGAATCCAGAAATGTCACCCAATTGCCGGTCCAGTAAAGCATCCCACGTTCTCCACTGTTGCATGCTCGATATATTCCACTAAGAAGAAAAATTTTAGCATCCAAAGTATTTGCATGATAGCTGTTCAAAAATCTGTAATCACACACATGCACCAATCACCACTGGGAAATCGGAAGTATATAAAAAAATGGAGCTGCCGATAGCTCGAGATGCAAAGCCAAGCCACATGCATCACTATAGTACTATTGGAAAATGTTCTGAGGAACAAATGAAGAAAAGTACAAACCGAAATGCTTGGCCGTACTCATATCCACGAAGTAGAAATTCCTTATAAGCATCTTCTGTATCTAATTCGATGCGTTCTGCAATTTCGGATGTCTGAATTTCATCAACATTTTTGTAGTAAAATGGCACATCTTTATCTACAATACGGATATAACCGGATGCCGCTAGTTGGTCACCATCCAGAATTTCAAAGTATCCATTTCCTGGCGTTACAATGACGTCCAAACGAACTGAAAATAAAACTGCCGCTAGAAAAAAGAAGTTCTTTAATATTGCTACCTGTAGCTTATCTCATTATTCTAAGCATAAACTTCCACAGAATCAGATTCCAACAACTTATCACATATATGCACACAAGAATTGACTTGGTTTGGTCACGATTGTTGCACTGTATACTCGGATTTCTTCCAGAATGACAGGCGTTTTCAGAAAGTCTACACCATTCAATTTTGCTATGGTCTTCCATGCCAATACCATATGTCCGGTGAATGGATACAACACACGGCCATCGATGATGTGATCAAGCAAAAATGTTTCCTAAACTAGCCAAGTACAGCTCTAGAAAACAATAACCTATAACGACAACAGTGGTCATTTTATTTATCTGATATGCTGCCAAACTAGTTTACTCTGTCTTTCAAGTAAAAGTCATAAAACGTGTTTTCTTACCCTGTTTTTCTCGATCCAGTGGCTGTTTCGGACTCTGACATTAGTCATCTAACTGCCCTGAGGTTATGCCACGTCACCACGGGAAGAGAATGAGAGGAAATTTTTCCTTCTTCTACTATTACTATTATTGCTGTTACTACGTGGTCATTGTCTTTTTAATTAACTCCTCTTTATTTTACTCGCAGTCATATTTATTTGGAACTATATTTATTGTTGAACAGCTTCGACATAATATACCTTTGAGTCAGATGCAAAAGGATCAACCGTGTAACAATATGATGTTGGTAACTGTCTGCCACTTGCAGCTGAAAGCGTTTTACCGTCGATAACTGGCCAATCTTGACTGTGGTCCCAGCGCCACATGGCAGATATCATTGGTGTACCAATGGGCACAGGATATTGTATAGCTGGATACAAGGCTTCGATATGAATGGTTATTCCTGTCTGGTAAATTTTCCCCAAGGCCTAGAGTGAAATGAAGTTAAATACTTTCACAAATAACTAATGCAACCATTATGGCTAAAGTTTTTTTCTGTCTCACGGTAATGCATCCAGTCTTCACTTTTCGACGAAACACATCAAAGAGACTTCACCTGCAGAAATGATTCCAGTTCACGGTCTTTTTCTTTCATGTTTATTAAGCCCACATTAGTACAGGTTTTCTGCAGCGAACGACGCAGGATTGCATGCATCAAGCAGTGAGGTGCAATTTCAATTGTTACTGCATTCGCCGGTATTTTTTGAAGTGCTTCATAGAAAAGCACCGGGCTTATAGCATTGTTAGTGTGGTAATCAGCTGAACACATTTGCGCCAATTCATTTTCCCAATTACTTTCTGGAATTGAAGTTGAAATCCATCGAGATGATCGTGGTTTTGGGTCTGGCACGCTTGTACGCATTGCTTTGAGCATTTTGTCTTTGATCTGAAATTAATCAAATTTCTTTGAAATAACATCGCAGTAGATCGATGGAGCTATGCTTGGAAGTGATATCTCATTTTTTTACTGAATTATGTTAAGAGTAATGATTGTATACATTCTCGTTTCATACTGTGTAATCAATTAATAATAGAAGTAGTTACACTTGTAATATTAAGATTTGTTGGAGAGATATTGGGGCATCAAAATCTAAAAACCGCAACATGTTTGTAATGTGTTGTTAAATGATTGTAAGAGAGAATCAAACTAAACACCTTAAGCATAGCCGGCGAATGAAATGGGATTCCTGATGAATCAATAAGTTTTGCGAATATATCTTCCTTTTTTAGTTCTTCAACAAATTCTTCAATTTTTTCAGCATTACCAGAAATTGTTACTGAATCAACAGCATTATGACAGGCTGGAATGACACCTTTTGGACATCTTTTTCTGGCTTCTTCCCTGAATTAAATTATTTTTGTAGATGACAATGAGCTGCAAAATTAAATCAGAAATTTTTTTCCATTCCATGGAATATCCATCAATTCCCTCTTCAGTATGATTTCTTGAAGGAAATTTGTATAAAAAAGACAAAAATGACACAGGATTTAAAGTAAACATGGCAGCAAATAATATATAAGTTTGTTATTTCCGGGTGGGCAGATTCACGGATTTTTTATATAATAAATTATCAAAACAATTCGGATTTGGCTTCGATTTTCACGTCCGAATAAATTATTATGAGTGAATAAACCATTCTTTCGTTAATATATCAAATGAAGCAGTGAAGCAAAAAAAAACATAAAACAAAATGTGTGAACTGCGAAACAGCTTCCTCCTCATAAGTGTTGAAATCCGCAAGTGCTCAATAAGAATGGCAGAATTTCAAAAGTCTTCAAACTTGTAATGTATTATAAAGTTCTAAAGTCGAAATCTCACCACGACAGGCCTACGGCAGCCATACCACCTTTGATATTTGCGTCCATAATGGTGCGACCACGATGGTAAGCCAAATGCATCGTTTGTTCACGCGTAAGCCCACCGTCAGCATATCCACAACACATCTCACCTGTCGAATGTCCAATTATTCCATCTGGTGTAACACCGAGTAGGAAAAGTACATCCGTCAAGGCAATCTGGAAAAGTATTTGTAGTTTTTTCTTATAAGTAGGATCAAAATTCGGGATCACTTCATAGTGGTATTATAATATCGAGTAGTAAGGTATATGGGTTTTATAACTTCGATTTTCATTTTCCACACACAATTAATCTAAGTTAAAAAATTTTTTGAAAACAACAGTACTCGAATTCCAACTAGATTGGAATGTAAATTCAGACTTTGGTTATCTACTATTTTCAGGAAAAGATTTACGCCATGTTAATATATGAATCATTGGTCACCTGTATGGCCGTAATTGCAAGCATGCAGTTCAATGTATTATTTTTATAAAAACTTGGGTCATCACTCTGCAACATCTCGTAAACATTGAGACCGAAATCGACGACAGCATCGCTGGAGCTTCTCAAGGATTCATCAAAAGCAGGTATTGACATAAGCTGTCTGACCATACCAGCCCATTGACTGCCCATACCTAAACAAAAATCGGGAATGAAATTGAAAGTTCAAATCACATGAATGACTGTAAGTAAAATTGAGCTGAGCTAATTATTTCGTTCAAAGCTAACTTACCTGGATAAATGAAATAAATCTGTTTTGGCTCAGTGATCATTATTTTTTGTACATCTCGAAGAGGTGGCAATTCTGGATCTTTTTTTGCATCTGGTGGATAAGGGATTTTATCACGATTGATAATAATGTAACCACGGTATGGTGTATCCTTAGCTGGCAAATTGGCTTGATTTGCCAGTAGCTGTTGCAGGTAAGCATTTTCTGGATGAGCTAAGACGCAGTCGAAAATGTTATTTACTGCTTCTGCTGTCCTTCCAGAATACGGAATGATTTTCATAAATGTTGTTGGTGCCGGTTTACGTTCCGTATGGTTCGCCGGACGAAGTATGATGTGAGTGTTACTGCCGCCAAAGCCAAACGAATTGATACCAACTAAACCGCGTTGAAATGGAGTCTTTTCAGTAACGACCTAAATTAACCATCGTAATGCTGTGGGAAAAGAAACTGAAAAAATATGAAAGTTATGTAAAGTGTTAGAAAATATGGAACCTGTAATCGGCCATCAACAAGACCAGGAATATATGGATTAGGCTCATTATAATGTAAGTTTGGTGGTATGAAGCCACGCTCCATTGTTATTAGAACTTTTGCAATTGAACACAGACCAGATGCCGGCTCCGCATGACCCATGTTTGACTTAACTGAACCGATAAGAAGTGCAGAATTCCTGAAAATTTTGTCAAGTTGAAAACCAGAAACTGTCTCACAGATAATTCATAGCTTACCGGTTCTGGCAAAAAACTTGGCATATAGCGTTTGCTTCTTGAGGGTCACCAACTTTCGTACCCGTTCCATGACTTTCCACGTAAGTTACTGTATTAGGATCAATTCCAGCCTCACGATATACTTCTTCCAATAATGCTGCTTGGCGTTCACCCGATGGAAAGGTAATGCCCTAAAATTTACGATTCTCCATTTTGATAATTTGACAGCTTTTTCTAACTCAAGTTTAGAAAAGTCGTAGATTCACTTTTTTTAAAAAAGTTTACATATAATTTTAGAATCACTAGTATACCTGCTCTTTGTAACCGTCAGTATTGCTTTTTGCATGAACTACAGTAGCATAAATTCTTCTGGCTGCCGATTGTCTCTGAAGCAGTATTGCAGCAATAGCTTCCGTACGGCAATATCCATCACCTAAAAATATGTCTTGGTCGTTTACAATATTTTAAAATTCAACAATTATCCAAGTGGAATCAGTCTAGAACTCACCGAGTTACATTACTTTTTCTACTTATATGGTTCCGATGTCTTGATAATTTTTTTTTCAATGTTTCGGGACTTTGCATTTCGTACGCTGTGTTGCAAAAGTAAATGGATACCCGAAGCATCGAACGAACGGCAGCTCCCTTTATCGGAAAGCATGCCAAGCCGAAGGAACTGTAAAGCTGCAGTAGGTGTTAAAGTTAGATGAGCTCCAGCTACAATTGCCGCATCACATTGTTCTTGTCGTATCGCGTCAACAGCTAGTTGGAGCGCGCATAAAGATGAAGAACAAGCCGTGTCCACAGAGAAAGACGGTCCTAAGCAACATTGATTTAATAAAACTTACAACTTTGTTATATTGAGGCAAGAAATTCCTTAGGACATTTTTGGGTCAAATCAAATGTTGGCACGTCTAAGTTTCAGTGCTTCCGTATTTAAATCATTTAATTCAATTCACCGATAGGGCTAATTTAAAATGGTTGTTCACATGTTTTTATTGGAACAAGTCATAATAAAATTTAAATATTCTTTAACTATTTGAGAAAGTTCATAGAAATTTCTTCTTGTTTGTTAGAAGTATTAGCGTATTGCTTCTCTCAAATTAAAAATTTATTACCTCTCAAATCGAACGTAAAACTGAGACGATTGCTGAACATCGAGCGTACGCATCCTGTCAATGTATATCCAGTGACAGTTTCTGGATCTTGAGTTAACACTCCACCAGTTTCAGAAGCTGAACAACCCACAAAGACACCTGTCCTTGAACCACGCAGTTCAGTTGGATTTAAACCTGAAATGCACCAAATTACTAAGCAATGTTTTGGTAAGATATCTGATCAGCAATTTCTTGCAAACCTTACGCTTAACATTTCATCCTTGAAGCTTCACTTTTATTTTTCAATGCAAATCTAATTTCAACTGGTCCTTAGCCTGAAGTATGATGGTAAGCCATTGTGAATAAACATCACGAATAAAAGGATTTAATGAGAAGCCATTATATTTGCTACGTATGTTCTCTATTTTAGAATCTGAAATTCCAGCTATTTTCCACCTCAAATACCACCCAGAATTGGATGAGATGGATCCCCACATTAAGGACATCCCTAACATTTATAACTTTCACTGCTCTCTATCTAAATAATCAAGCAAACAAAGTGGTCATAAATATACATTAATAATTGGAAAATATGCAAATTTACTGATATAAATCCCTCTTTTCAATAGCGAACCAGTAAAACGATTTATTAGAGGAAAGGTGTGTCTTTCAAATACATTTTTCTCTTAATACTGAAGACGTTACTTTCGAAATTCTATAAATTTTGCATTTTTAGAACTCTAAGATTTAAAATTGCGTGCATTTCAGAATCTACCCTTTTATATATACACTTCTTTGTGATATCAAAGTAGTAACCAGAAAGCCTATGATATACGCGAGAATAAAAACCTAAAATTTCGACATTCATCAAACAACTTGAAAGCAGAATTCAAATGAAGTTAAAAAAACATTGAATAGTCTTTAAAAAAAGATAATCTAATATTGGAGATAATAGTACAACTTCTGGTGGTTTATTAATTGTTTCGTATCAATACCATCATTATTTTAAGCAAAAATAAATTAATATCCAGTATATTTAAAAGCACTTTTTTTGCGGAGTATCATAATTTCTATTTCTGATTCAAATTACATACTAATAGCTTAATTATATTCTGTCGCGAAAGTAATTGCTCCCTCCATCTCTCTCCTCCTCCCTCTATACAAGTATGTGATGGTAACAAAATGGCTCAAAAAGTTATATTGGACATAACTATCAACACCGATTTTAACAGTTGAAGATGTATCTCATTTGTCAAAGCAAATTGAGGAAAAACTGTCTCAAACGCGGCTAATACGAAATGAATTCATACGGCTACTAGTAAGAAGTAAATCGTCCTGAAGGATGTCTGAAAAATCGACTAAGGCGGTCTATTTCTTTGATCTCTCAAGTTTTTACGAAATAGGACCAAAACTCTTTATAAAATATCATATTTTTATTAAGGCATTAATCATGCTTGAAGGATCTGCAAGGAAAATCAAATTCTAACACTTTATATTCAATCATCTGTTTTTATCTCATCCCATTCTTTTCACAGTGTTTGGAACATTACTAATTTGCAATCAACTAATTACCAAACATCCAAGGATGACTCAGTGCTGTAATGTGATAGTAGTTCCTCTGTGCTCTTCCACGTTTCAACTCGTGACAATACACAATGATTTATGGTCAAAGGTCAGGATGCCATGTGAAAAAGAAAAGACAGGAATACGTCATAATGACGTATTCCTGTCTTTTGTAAATGTACTACAGGACTGAGGTGAGAGAAAGGTTGAGATTTCGACATTAAAGATCATCGAATGAAGACATATCAATTTCTAGCATTGCCGCTATGCCGAAGGTTGGGAAGGTATCAAGGAACTATCGCACGCGTTTTTAAATTTCTTTCTCTTTTGTTCTTTATGAAAATGCAATAAAACTATTATGCTGTAAAGAATGCTGTGAATGGAAATGATGAAAACTGGGATGACTTCTTTTTTTGAGTGGCGCTGTAAAAAATGATTACACAGTTCCCGTAAAAATATATGTGAATGAGAAGAATGTGTAGAGGGGAAAACTAAAAGTGATCTATCGACTGTGATGATGTTAACACAGTGACCGTCTTGTTCGAGAGTGAATGGTGAGTGGTATAAAAGAGCATTAGTCGCTAGACTTGGTATCTATGGAATGTCAGGCATACACTTTGGTTGCTTTTTTTCCTAAATTTAAATCACAATCTCTTGTAGTTTTATAGTCACTTAAAATTCATTTTGATTTTCAAATTATCCAGTTTTCTGAGTTACTGCCATCCCAATCTCCTCTAACTTCCTCATTTAATGAATTTTAAAATTCAAGCCAAAAAAAGCGTTATATTTGACTTGAGAAAACAGCTTCAAACAGAAATGAAAAAACATCTCCCAAAACTAGCATATTTAACATGAATGTAACAAATTAAAAGCTATCCCACTCACCAGCATCAATGATCGCCTCCAGAGTCACTTCCAACAATTTTCGTACTTGAGGATCCAAATAATTAGCCTAAACCAATTGAAATCTAACATTTTCCAAAAAATCGAAAACTTGTAAAAGGTCGGTAATTCAATTAAAAAAAGAACAATAAACCACAACAGTAATTCTAAAGTAAAAATTATTCTATTGAATTAAATTAATTCGCTTTTTCCGGACATGCTAAATAATGAACCTGCTTCGGAGTTATGCCAAAATATTGCGCATCAAATTTTTTTAAATCTTTCAGTTTTCCATGGCGCTTCGGCAAATCGAAAACCCCTAAAATTAGAGCGGTTGTACAGTGCCACATTATTTCGGTAATGCAACAGTTAACTGATTTTGAAAATTTCTAGTCATCGATGTTTAGAAAAAACGACAAGTAAGAAGAAATAAATGTTATAATAATTAAAAGCATGAAACTACCAGGTGGCCAACGCAAACTATCTTCGGTGACAAGGTCTTCGCCAGCCAATAGTAAGTCACCGAATTCTTGAACATTTTCACAGCGTGGAAAACGCCCAGAAATGCCGGTGATGACAATTTCTTCCTGGTCTCGCCAAAACGGCACTTCACCCGATGAATTCATACTTCCGTTTGACTGCAACATCAATTTCAAATCATTGGATATGGTTGCGACTAACCACAAAAATAATAAAAAGAATTATCTTCATCAAAATATAACATTCACAAATGTAATTTCGATTTTTGATTGCTTTCTCAACGATTTACATATATGTTTCATCCATATCTCCTTTTTTTCAGTTTTATTTTCAGCCTGTTTTCATTTCTTAGTCCAATGCTTTGCAAATTGATGAATTGCTTGTTATTTTTGTCAGTACATATTGATATATCTCGAGTAGCTTTAACTGTCCACCAGATCAAAATAAAATGGTTTAACGGCTGAAATCATTAGCCCTGTACATGGCCATATTTCAACACACAGTTGTACCACTACCTGAACTGAATGATCTCATAATTTTAACGACAAATAAAAAGTTCAAATGAAATTGAAAATTTTTATGGAGACTAAAAATCACGACATAATAAAATAGGAATGTGAGGAGGTGTGAAATGATAGATGGTCTTCTGTCTTCTTTCTTTTTGAAAAGTGTGGGGAAAAACGTTAACTAGAAGATATAATCAGTGAAGAAAGAGGGGCACTAAAAGAAGATAAGAAATTGAATGTGGCAAGAGAATAAAAAAGACTGATATCGTATCAACATGAAAAAATTGACCGGAGAGGCGTTGAACAGTGCATCATTTTCCTCCCTCATCCGGTGAATAGGTCTGAGAGACGGGAGCCAAATATAATATATACGATGATGATGATGATGATGATCCGATGGTGGTGATGATGATGATTCCCATGATTCTGTCAAATAACAATCTCTTAAAGAATGATCAAATTTTGTATTTTCACTTCCAAATATTTCAAAACTATCAATCACTTTTCAGCTCACTTCACAGAATAAGTTGTTCTGATATATGGGTAATTTAACTTTTATCTAAAAGTCATAGCAAACAGAATTAATTTACATGCTCAAATATGGAAAGGAGAATTTCAATCATGCATAACAGAAATATTTAGTTACCGTTAATAAAATCAGTATATCAGCGAACGGTGAAGCTTGCCAAAGGCTAAATGCGTTAGAGAACCAATTGGAGCTGTGCTTTTCTATGGGGTGAGAAGAATTTGACCAATGAAAGTGTCTGGAAGTAAGCACAACACTCTATGCTTTTCATTTCAAACTACTGTAAGCTCTAACGCTTCTCACCCTCTTTCATCAATATTTATAATGTCGGTCAATAAAAGCTGCAATAATTTTTTCCCTTATTTTTGAAAGATTACATTAGTAAGTTGGTTGTCATACACGCCTACTTTGCATAGTTGTATAAAAATTTCTATGAAAAGTGGAAGATCAATGTAACAGTGATGAGTTGATTGACTCGAGCGTACTCGATGATTTATGACGTTACCTAAGTTATAACATTCTCAACTTCCGTCTTCATCTCTTCCTTTCCTCCTCTCTACTCTGACACTTCTCCCGCCACATCACCCATCCCCATGGCCTCCTCCCGACAACTCCTAAAAACTCGCCCCCCTCCCAGGCACCCAGAAACCCAATTTTGGTTTCCAGCTACACTATTTGGAACAAAAGATACAAGGTCATTGTGTATGAGCCTTCCCACTTCTGTTAAATTTTTTCATCAAGTTTCAACTTGAAAAATTTTAAATCTAATCAGGAGGATCCAAAGCGACAGTTTTGATTGATAATGTATTATTTAAATGGGGAAAATTACAAAAGATTGGAAAAATAGACGAGCGTAAAAGCATTAGATATGAGGTGTGAGTATATGATTTCTTATTATTGATCACGCTCAAGGGATAAGTTCCAAAATATTTGTGTAAAATGAAGAAAATCATTTGATGATTTCAAAAAATCCTGAAATGAGGGAGTAATTTGCAAGTAATTTGTTAGAAAGGCAAACCATCATCACAGGAATGATTTCAAAAGGACATCATGGATGCACCGTGTTTCAACAGTATAGTAATACTATCTCCACTAGGACTAAAACTGGTTGTTGGTACAAAAAAGGAAGGTGGAAAATGAAACGAACCGATTCTTATTACAAACAGTCATTGGTGCAAGAGGAGCAACCTTGGTAACATCGTTGCTGCAAATTTTAGAAACGGTTCACTGTTGATTCTTATCTCCTGCAGCAGATAGATATATGTGACTCTTGATCAAAGAGCCCAATGTCTTCCTTCCCCCACCTCTTCTCATTTCAAAACTCCTGTTCTTGCTCTCACCCCTCCCCTTCCTCTCCCCTCCCTAATTGTACGCAGAAATCTGTTGACCCATAAATAGGGAAAATCATTTTAGAAGGGGTTCGCAAATCACCATGACCATATATATCTATCTATACAACATATGTATGCAGCACACAACAGCAGCATCACACAGCAGCAGCAACAGCAGCAACAGCAGCAACAGCAGCAGCAGCAGCAGCAGCAGCAGCAGTAGCGGCACACAGTCAGCATATTTTTGCTCCTCTCCTCAACATTTTAAGTATGATATGATTATGGGTTATGTTGGTGATCTCCTCTTCAGGCAATTTCCTTCTTCCTCAAACTACATCAATGTGGCAATTTTATTGCATGGAATTTGAATGGAAGAGAAGAAATGAGTGGAAAGGATGGTTGGGGAAGTGGACTTATGCGATCCACGAGAGTGAATTAACTGCCTCAAGTAACTTCGTAAAATGCTTTCTAAATGCACAGGACCAGAGAAAATTACATGGGTAAAGCCAGTCTGCTGTTGCCATTCCAGTTTTACGGCTATCGAATTTTGATAATTTTCGGTTGTTATCAGTCACTATCAGTGCCTCATTATTACAAAGTCATCGACATCATTATTATCAAGAATTATGACGAACACTAGCGCACTCCACCGTTAACACACGTTAACTATCACCACTATTACGCCATCTTATCAATACTATTGCTTATCCCCATTAATATATCCTCCTTAGCAATTTCTTCCTAGACTGTTACAATCCAATAATGGTCGCTTTCCTGTTTTCCTGGTATAATAAAAGGAATTTCGGTGGTCCAGTAAAGTCTTCAAACTGTAAAGTGACAAATTTACTGCCATCTTTTACTAACTTTGACAACAATGAATTTAAAAAAGGCGAGAATGTGTTCGAGGAGCGATGATTTGAGCAATTTCGAAAATGAATACATTTCAATCTTATTTCACCTCCAATATGCGTGCATACTTATACACTTCAACGCACTCATTTGGCACTGATCTGGAACAAAGATACAACTCACTCCACCTCTCAGTGCAGCAATGTGCGAGAAATTCCTGATACAGATAAAAGTCATTTCTTGTTCACATCAAAATATGCAATCAAAGTGCGGTGTCCAAAAACAATGGAAGAGAGGGAGGTTGTGCTTAAGAGGAATTTCGCATACATTATTGAACGGCGATCACTTCTGAATATAAGAAATGGAAAAATTGAAAAATCTACGTTTCCCATCTGATAAAGGACTGCTATCAAAGTGCACATCACAAATGTAAATTTAAAAAGAATCAAAACCTGGGGAACGCTGCACACTAAAACACCAAAAGAGTGAAAATTGATGATTAGAGCAGAAATGATTCAAAAAAGATGTAAGAATTGGCGATTATTTCGAACAGGGTGAGAAGACAAGAAGTAGAAGAAGAAACAAAGTTGTTGATGAAGTGATAATCATCCAATTATTTGATGCATAATAGCAGGTAGCAGGTTTTTGGATAAATCTAAGAAAATTGAAATTTTGTTTTATTTCATCTATCCAGAATGTTTAATTGTTAAAGAAATCGTTAAACAGTTAGGCTTTCTCACCGCTCTCTAAAAATATAACTGATGAAATTGGCACAGCAAATGCTGTGAGTGCTGTTAGAATGTCGGAAAAGTTTTTCAGGTTTCATTTGACTATGTTAAGCTATCAAGAGCGATTGGTATTTTGGAAAGCCAAACACTACTGAAAGGAATCGTAAGTGTGAGAAAAATCGTTGCATACTTATCGAGTAAACATATGTGAAATTTCTTTTTCAAAAATTTTGCCGTGAGAATTCTAATCAGTCGCTCGCATCTATCAAGTACCTTGCTCCGAAATGCGCATATTGACAAATATGTTTCTTGAATTATTTTATGAAAAATTTGATAACATACATTGATAGCAGCCGTTCGCTAGATTTTATAAAGATAATTGGAAAAATTCAAAAAGATAATTTGATTGAGAAGAGAAACGTAATACCTGTGAATCGGAGAGTTCTTCGGAAACACGTTCCCAACCACCAGATAACTGATCTGACTGATTGCTGGATTTCTCCGTGGTGTTGCTACCGTTGCCACTACCATTGTTTGTCACACTATTGTTGTGACTGTTTTGAGTTGTGTTGTTGTTGTTGTTCTTTTCCATGACAGCAAGAGAACAGGAAAAAACAGAAAGCAGTAAAGGAATAAGGAAGGCAATTTAAAGCTTAAGATGAAATGTGCTGTTTCTCAGATCGTTGCAAACTGAAAAAGATGGAAGCATGTGAGAATGAGAAATGGTTGGGATTAGAGAACGTTGCAGAAGGAAGGCCTGCAAGTGATCTTTCTATCTTGGATAACAATAACAGTACTATATATAGTGATACCGAGGGATGTGTGATGGCGAAATGGAGTGGAAAAGTTGGTGTTTCTTCCTTTGACTTCTCTTCAAATATTATGATGGTAAGCGAAAGTAGTGAATAATTTCGCTTTCTTATATTTGTCTTCAAAAATAAATCGAGTAGCAGCTTTCGTCAACAAATAGTTCTGGAAGCACAAAGAAATGCACCGTACCGACTAAGATACGTTGTTGAATTTGTCAACAAACAATTGAAAATTGCTCAATTTGAATAACCCCAGAAATCGGCTCCCTCTCCGCACGATACGTGTGACGACGCTTCTATTGAATGATTTCCGATATCTGCTTATACTTTCTTCAACTGATGCTCGCAACGGTGCTGCGATCGCAATTTTTGATTGCTACCGATTGTTGCCGTATAAAGAGAGGCAAGCTAGAAAACTAGCAGATAATTAAACGTCATCACTATTGCTACAATGAACAAAAGGGCCATGGTTTTACAGTTTACCTTTTCAACATTTCTTAGCATTCATTATCCTGCTTTCTTCTATCACATCCGTACTCAATTAGTCAGTTAATGAACATGTTCACTGTTGAGAGGAAAGCACAACAGCACAACTACTCGCTCAAAATTTCAATTCGATCGACCTATCTAACTACTTAATATAACATGGAGCAGTTTCAGGATTCAGCATAAGCGTAAGGTTGTTTAGGTAGACAAGGAGAAATTGAATGCTTCCTAAATCGGTTATTTCGATAAGCAAGTAATAATAAAGAAGGGGTGGAAGAAACTCAGAGAAAACTTGTTTATGCAGATGCAAGCAGGAAAAAAAATGATAGTATCGATTGTCATATAATTTTTGTCTCTACAGGTACCCAGAATAACAACCGTCTCCACTGCATACCCGAAACGAACACCATCCATAATCCTATCGCTACCTTAGATTCGATTCATTCCCTCCTCCCCACTGTTTGGCCCAGAAGAATCACCATCTTTATGGTCACATCCGGAACGAATACTTGCACTAAACAGTGGTAGGGATGACCGTTCTCGTCATTCATCCTAAACAAAATCTTTTCTTCACCAGCATCACAACAAGAAATAATCACCTTTCTGTTTTCCCCTTCCCAACATTTCTACCATGTTTACTGCATTGCCCATATTTGCCCACCACCAATACTCTTACTACTACTGCTACAATAACTTTAATTTCTGTTGTCTGATTACATAAATCGCAGGGTCATCCATCAGTTGTCTAGTTGAAAGAAGTATTTTAATTTTACTATTTGTGTGCCTTGCTATTCTGGTCAGTTGATTTTTAGTGAGGAAAAATGGCCACGACTCATCTTGAGATCTAATGAACCGTCACGTCAACATTATGGTCCCAAAAGCATTTCCTAGCCTGTCACATCTCTACTCTCTAATCCAAAATATTTCTCCTTCCCTCTCTCTCTCCAATACTTTCTCTTGTATACCTTTTTTCTCAACTAGACAACTGATGGATGACCCTAATCGGTCTTACTACTGCTATAAGATCCGAACCAGATAAATCCGATACTATTAAAGTGTGGGAACCAACAGATAATTGTTGTCTTACTTGGCATTTACAAGTCCTGATGATGCCGGTTAATTAATCTATACATCATTGCGACAAAAAATACATCAATATTTATTGAAATTTCGAAAAAAGAAAACATCCCTCAATTTTCGATTGATCTAGTGGTGATTCCAGAAATGCATGTTACCTGGAAAATGCGCTTGAAATTCAACGTTTTTAGCTAATTACAAGGAAAAATTGAAACTGATGGAATTAAAGAAATGAGAAAGTAATGTTTAAGGACATTATAAAACTACGAAACTATGTTTTTACGATAGCTTTTGGCTTCACCAAATACAAATAGTCAAGCAGAATGTCCTAAATAGATTCATGATCATCTGTTTAAAGAAGAATTTGTTTCATCACTTATTTTTAAATAATTCACAAATTTTCATCAAAAGCCACTTAATGGTGCAATTAATCTTCTAGATCCAATTTTTTATTTAAATATTTTGAAGCTTTTACAAATAGGAAACTGGTAGCTCTGATCAGTATTGAGTTCCCCAGCTTTTTTGCTGAGCTTGATTTTAAACTTAATCCTATCGGTACAATTTTTTCTTCAATTAGCTATTTTTCATCAAATAAAACTGGAACGAAGACGCAGAACGCCATGATCCAATAATCGAATTATAATTTCATCTTATTTGGTTACGGATAAGTGAGGAATTAAGAAAGAACTGTCAGGTGAGCGAAAATGATAAGTAAGGACGAGGACGAATTTTGACGACTGCATCAATGAACATTGTTTTTTTCATAACTGTCATTTAGAAGAAGTAAGTCTTAAAAACAGGCTTTGATTGATATAAGGAAACCGAGATAGGAGGAGAACTATAATTAGCTTACTCAGTGTTGTGATATCTAAAACTTACAGGGAAAGCATAAAGAGATGAACAAGAACAGTTCGAATTATGAGCCAAATATCTGGAGCGGGTCATTGGTGCTTTGGTACCTGGTACCACCTGTTCTTAGTATTTTATTTAGCGACAATGTGAATATACTAGAAAGCAGTGGTACACACAAACTGCGATGGCCACAATAACGGTCAAACCTGTTTGGTTAAGGTGTAACTCTGCACCACGCATACACTGAACGTACCGCCCCTTTCCGCTGTTCTCTATATCTATAAAGGAGGTCCAGAGGTACCTCTCATCACTCTCCAACTCCTCGTCCCGGGCGGGTCAAAAGTATCAGCAACAACATTACAGCATCCATCTCTCCATCCATCTAAGTTCATCCATCCATCCATTCATCTACTTTCATCCATCTATCAATCGACCCACCATCATCCATCATATCCCATATTAAAATTGGTCATTTATTCCATATGCTGCCATGCTCCATCTTGACAGCTTTTCATTCCATCCACTGCTACTACAATATGGCCATCGACACTTCGATGAGAAGGCAGAATTGATACATAACAATGACAAAGCCAAACTAAATCAACGATGACGACACCGCATCAATGATGCCGTCGACAAAGACGATAAAATTGAAATTTGAGGGAGGCGACGAAAAGGGTGTGGCTTGCGGTGACAATCAAGCAGAGATAGGTCGGTCGGTACAATAGGTATGTCAAATGAGAAGGTGTTGGTCGAGTTGACGAAATCGGTACTTTCAACCGCTGATGATGCGTCAATATCACATGATATCCATATGAAATCTTTATCCTCAACTGTTACTATTGTTTTTCCCTACATCATTTAAGCACTAATGGAAGCCATTTTAATTCACTTCACTTCGCATCAACTCATAACACTCATCTAATGTGACCGCGGGTCATTTAAATGCTACTAGCAAAACAATCACAGCACCATAATTATTGTTCATTGTGCGTTAGATTATGTTAAGCTATATTAGCATTTGCGTTATTTTATAGAGAAGCTTTTCGCGAATTTCGTGAATTTAAAATTTTCAAGACGAATTTGTTAAATTGAGAGTAAAGATTGATAGACGAGCATGAATCAATATCACAGTTCGGTGTCGCTGAAATTATCTTATACGATGCAAAGCCTTTCAAGGTCCGTTGATTTTGAACATCGTTCATGATTTTATGAGCAGTCTAAGATTATCTGTTACGATACAAACTGCCTGTCACAACATGCCTGGTTTGAAAATGTAGTTAAATAATTTCATCGTAACTGAACATGAACCTAATATTATTGTTACCGCACCACAGTGAAAGATCTTGGCAGGATTTGCCGTGGACAGGTAAAGGATAGACCGTAGAATGATTATTTATAACTTGGCATGAAAATGCATGTGCTTGTGTGTGCCTTCCTGATATTAAAAACCGCGATCGGTACGACCTAATTTCATACCATTTGAAGATTAAAACCAAAAGATGACGGATAGCTGAGTTTCGTTGTGCGAATTACCGATGAACCAATTAACTCAAACGGACCATTTCTAAGAAGGACCGAACAGTTAAGAAGGGCGCGGCATTTCTTTTTTTTGAAATTTTGTTAATTTTCTCTGTTAACCTGTTACTATGAAAGCCAAACCATAGGGATGTTAAAACAATTTGCATAGACTTGAAAGAATCATTGTCCAAGATATGGTCTTTCCAGCTCAGAAATCAATTTCCGTGCATTTCACACTTCTGGGAGACTACATGTATCCAGAAGGACGCATTCCATGTTACAACTGACAACTGATTGTACAGCGTTGACCTTTTCGATATTTTGTTATCGGTAAACCACTGATCTATTAAGGAAGTAACATCTCCGGTTAACGCGTCCTGACACCACTATCCCCATTTTGAAGAAGTGCACATATGAATAATCTGCCACCACCCACAAAGAAAAATTAAGAAAGCCTTCGTAGAAAATTCAAAAAGTTCGAAGAGACTTCAATCTCCTTCCTTCCATTTATCTTTCAACAGTAAATGTTCACCGTAACAGATCGTGTAATCAAAACATATAATTTATTGTTAATCAATGTAATGTAATAAACTTTATTGGGGGAATTCTCGAATTAGAAAATAAAAGTGGATAAACCTTGGAGGCAACATTGTGAAAAAGTAATAATAAGTAAATGGAGAAGAAAAACGGACGAAGGGGAAGGGAAAATATGATGATGATGCAGCACACCTTCCTAGAAAATTACTTACATTTAAAGCCAATTGAAGTGAATAACTTGACAAAAGATCGGTCCATAGGGATGAAATGTGCACTAAATTGGCGACGACAACATTGATTTCATCAGATTTCCAGCAACATAAAGAAGTTTCTGGAAGACTTCACACATCATTAACCGGTGTTGTTCATAAAATACAAGGAGTGCCAACTAGCAGTAACCTTCCATTACCACCAGCAGACTGTCGATGCGTAGTGCCACAACACTTTTATTACTTCCTCTTTCTTCCCTACCGCACACTCATTTCCGAATTCTTTCCATAGCTCTGTAAAGAATGATTTGACTTTTTCGGTGACAACGACATGCATATGAACTTTGTCATCAACTAATCATTCATTGATATTTCCAACGTAAGCGCTTTCAGCAGATGTTGCATCCAAAAAAATGACAGAGCGCAGTTTGGTTTGCGCAAAATATTGTACGTCAGCAGAAGATGAAAATAATTGCAACAAATAGAGATAGACAGACAAATGCTAATGTTTCATTGAAACTTAATTATATGTAAATACAAGTCAACGGCCAAAAATTACAAATTTGGATGTAGAGGAATTGAAGATGAGAGAAGGTAAGGAAGATTGAGTAAGAGTGCGAGACGTCAGCCGGAAATACCGAAGTTGCCTCTTGTGAGGTGCCTTTTTGTCATCAAGCATCTTATTTATCGTCTTATCAACAAACTTTGCACGGAAAGTTGCAGCCATTAGCTATCACATTTCATCACTTATCAATTCCAAAAATCTTGCCATCTCGTTCAGCATATAAAGTTGTCGAAGCAAAGTTGTAATGTACCGAGCAACTGTCTTTTCTCATGCTACATCCTTTGCCAAATCTTCCTTGTTGGGCAGACAGGAAATTTTTATCTGGCATCACTGTCTTCCAAACGCAACAATACTTACTGCCAGTTTCTCTCCCAGAAAATGTCACTTGTCAGACGGAGGTGACAGCACAAGAGACGTAAGGAGGAGGAAGCAGGAATACATGATTTCATGCCTTTATATTCCTTCAAATTTCATTAAGTACAGTTTGACGACTTTCAAATACTCTGTATCACTTATTGCCTGAAAAATATCATTTAATAGAGTTTTTAAGTTGAAGACGCAATAATCTAGCACTACAACAGCCTTTCTTATTTTCGCAATTTCCGGCCATTGATTAAAAAGACTTTCTAATGCTTTGAACATTCCTCAGCATATCCTTGACAATGTTTACAAAAAAGTGAACCGCAACTTGCTTCTGCTATGCGTCACAATCGTCACAATCAATCGCACCTTCTGTTGAACCAGGATTTTTTCGTGCTAGATAGTATCGTGCTAATGCATACAGCACCGCAATCC